CCCGCCCTGCCCGACAGACGCAGCGGGCCGAGGGTGAGTGGCTTCCCCGCCTCCTGCGCCCTGCGGCGGGCCCGGCCCGCGGCCTTGCGGCCTTCCCGTAGCGCGGCCTGGCAGTGCCCGGGCAAAAAAAGGGGATGAAGAGACCTGCATCATCGCTTTGAAGTTACGGCCTGATAAAACGCTGTCTTAGCCTGTGGTCCTCAGCGTACTGAGGAAGCGAGTGTCATTTTTGGGCCGGATGACGTCGCTTCGCTTTGTGCCTCCCTTTATTTAAGTGTTACTTCACTTACTTTTAGGCTGTGTGCTAATAATTCTTAGAGATTAAGTTACTTTCTTCACACTCGAGTTTGGCCTTTGCCGTTGTGGAACAGACCAACTATTTTCCAAACTATTTACAACAGTAATTTGCTGGTCAGAGCACTAACTTTAGTAGTTTCAGTGTGCCCTTAGTTCATTCAGGGTACTTCGACTTAGAAGGCTTACCTGTCAGCTAAACGAGCAGCTGCTCAGTCTGTCTCGCTTCGCAAGACAATGTTTTGGAGCATCTGTTTGTTGGCAGAAAGGTCAATTTGTGGTGCGCGTGGAAAAGCTTGTGCTGAAAACCAGTGAAGTGGAAGCATGAAATTAAAGCACAAAATACGAAAATAAAGATAGGCAAATTGAAGTAAGATAACGTGAATTAATGATCAGGATGCTCAAATGCTGTACTTGTTTAAAAAAAAACTATGGGGTTTTTTTGCTTAGTTTTATTTGTATTCTGTTTTGAATTGTAATCTATAGAGCACTTACAAATATATTTATTGCTGTGTTTTTCTGTTTCATACTGTGACAGTATTAAAAAAGAAAACAAATCAGGAGCTTTTGTAGCTCATTGAAAGAGCAAGGATGACGTAGCTTGTTGGTGTTGTTTTCCCTTTGATCACGGAAGTAATGGCTTTTATCAGCACAGTTTAACATAGAAGTAATAGAAAAGGTGCAGTCCTGTCTGAGTAGATACATTAGTTTCATTTTTTAATTATTTTTTGTACTTGAAAGTCTGATTTTCACTAATCTGTGTAGGTGCTTTACTAAGAGATGGCTAAATGGCTCTTCACTTCGCATTTCTGTCAAAGGCCCAATTAAAGAGTTCCTTTCCAATCGTGGTGATTTTTATTCCTCTGTAAACTTGTATTCATGCTTCTGATGTGGCAGTTGAAGTAAACTGATGATAAAGCAGCTGGTTGGAGGCTGTATGGGGTGTTTTAAACAGAGACTTTCTTCTTTCACCTCTGACTTCTCCCACCATATTTCACTAGCGTTATAGGTTCATAATATGTAAAAAAATTTCTATATCATTAGAAGGACAATTTCAGTTCTTGGTTGCTTTTTAAAGCATTACGAAGCATCTATTTCTACCATTTATGAAAAGCTTTCATATAGCTAGCCTATGCCTCTGTATTAAGTGGTGTTCATCAGTTGTTGTTTTGTGTGGTGGTTTTTTTTCTCATTTTCTTTAGTGGCTGAAACTTACTTCTGATGATGTAAAGGAACAGATCTACAAGCTGGCTAAAAAAGGCCTGACTCCCTCGCAGATCGGTAAGGTTTACGAATCGCTCCTTAATGGAGAGAAAACATATTTTTCTGACTGTAATAATGTAATGGTTCCTTCAACCTATATTAA